GGCCCCGGTGGTCCCCTGCAATACTGGACAAATGAAGAGGACTCTTGGTGACAGAGTTCCCCACACACACACACACACATGTGCGAAACATGGCCCATTCAATGGCAGCCTGCGTAAAAACTCTGCAGGCTTGCCGTCAATGATGGCAGTCACCAGCTTTTTGAAGCGCTGCCTGGCCGGTCTGATCCCTCAAAAGGAGCTTCGGCCCGCGGCAGCAAAAGTGTGCGAATCACTGTTTTTGATGGCACCACGCAAGATGTGGGTCATGCAGAAAGTGCGCACTGCAAGCCGCTGGCGCTTCCTTAATCTGTTCTAATAAACAGGCCAGCAGATCAAGAAGCGCCCACAAAGCGATGAAATGTACACCTCAGGCATTCACAGCTATGGTCAATAGCCCCAGAAGCCTCGCAACGAAGCAGAGATGTGGCTGAGCAGCGGAGTCCACACCGTCTGCAAGGATTAAGCGTCGAAACTCCTTCAAGCAAGTCACATTTGCTCGGGTGGACACGTCGTGGAAGGATCTCAAGGGACAATCCTCCACAACATGTTGTTCTGTGAGTATGTCCGGAACCTCAAAAGCGGACTCCTGCAGTGAGCATCTGTGAAATTCTGCTCTGGGCACTGAGTCCACTCCTCAGCCTCCGCAGGTTTCACGCCGCGGCGAGCCTTTCAGAGCGTGAGAAGCGTGAGACAAGAGGCTTCGGGCCGTGAACAAGCCTTTGGAACTGCCGTCTCCATCAGTCGTTGGACTTCTGGCAAGCTTTCGTACCTCTGCTCCAGCTGCTCACAAGATTGGAACTGCAGCTCTATTCGGGGGTCACTTCTTCAGTGTTACGTTGCCAGCTCCCAACACAAGGAAGGAGTTTGGGTGCCGCTTGAAGAGATCCAAAGGTCGACTGGAGATCACACTGGTTACCGAGATCCCATTCCTGACAAAACGATTGCCCACCGAAAGACAAAGAGCCAGGCAGGCACTCCTTGCAATTTCAGGCTGTGGCCTCTGAATGAACTTCCCGCAGAGTGTGGAGATGTAGGTGACGGGGCCCAAAGCCTGCGCATCGTAAGTACGGCAGAAGGCCTTCTCTAACACTGCTGCTGCCTCTATGAGTTGAACGAACTCCCTCACAACCTCGAGGACGCCAGAAGATCTGTTTCGCACAGGAAGGCACAAGGATTCTTAGATGGAAACGAAACTCTCATCCATCTCACCCGCCGCAACTGTCGCCTCAGATCCATGCGAACAGGAAGATCTCCGCTCACAACGCTTCTCTGCATGAAAACGTTCCGGCAAGAGTGGGTTCACCTGCCGTGAAAGCTGCTGAGGCCTCCACACCCCTATCCAACAGCTTTACGGTCTGCTGCACCGGCTCATACTCAAACAGGCTGTCCTTCCTCTGTAAATACTCCGCCAGGGACATTCCAGCAACGGCAGAGACCGAGGTTTTGTACCTCCATTGCAGGCATGAAGTAAGCTGCAAAAGACATCACATGTGGTGCCCGCCACGCCTTTCGATGAAGAGGGCGTCGAGCTCGTCCAAGGGCAAGGGCCGCCCGGGCCCAGAACTCGGGGAGTTTCAAAGGCACACCGCGGGCCGAGTCCGAGCCGTAAGGCCAGGGCCTGGCCTGAGGAGAGCTCGGAGGCTGCGCGAGAGCTCCGAGTAGCGCATCGGCTCGGCGAGGGCCGCGGCACCGAGCCGCTCCCCTTGCTCTCGCTCTTGCTCTGCGCCGGGCTCGGGCTGGCAGGGCGCCTTCAAACAGACGCTCTCGAGTCTGAAGCGTGACTCGAATCTTGCACCTTCGACTCAGGCTGCTGTGCAGGTCTGGCCTGCAGAGCAGGTCTAGTGCAGGACCCTCCACATCTGTGTCTTTGGCATTGGTGTCTGCCGCACCTTGAGCTGGTTACTGCCGACGGTTTCGAAGTGCTCTGGAAACTCATGCACAAAGGCCGTGAGCCTAGGTGGAATGGGAAGCAGAAGCGAGAGTGGACGGAATGCAGATGTGAGATCAAGCCGCTTCTCTGGCCCTAGCCGCACCAGTTCACTAAGGAGATGCCGAGGCTGGAAAGGCCCCCACTTGCCGTTACTTGCATCTGTCAGAAGCTCTTCAGGATTTGGGGAGAGGACGGCCAGTCCTCTTCGTGGAACCCATAATTCTTTCTCAGAGTCTTAGGGCGCAACGTCATCTGGTCGTCTCGACTCATCTCCTTCAACTTCTGCATGAGGCTGTGGCCCTGACTGATGCTGTAGCAGGACCTGGGCGACTGACCATGCAGCTGCCACTTCAATCAGTGACCTGCATGATGGCATCAAGCGAAGCCTCTTAGGACAGCACGCTAACTGGTTATGCGTCATAGTTTTGTCACGCAGCAGCCCCTAGTCGCAAAGACAAATGTTCGTGAATCAGTGCATTCGAAGTCCGTCCGTCCTTGAGTTGGAGGGCTAGCTGACCAGCATCACCTCGATCACCGCAGTCTTGCATCACCAGCACCTTCAATATGTGTTGGAACGTTTTCTCAGAGGGCAAAGACATACTGCCGGTCACTCTCTCCTCTGACCTTGAACCCGGTGTCACGTCATCAGCTATCGAATCATGCTTCCTGCTATCTTTCGAGAGGCATGCCTGAGCCAGAAAGGAACTCAATTTTTCACATGCAACTGTATGAAGGCTTGGGCAATGCAACACAAAGTAGCACGTCCATCTTGTTCTGCCCGATCGCTTCGATGCTGCCACTGCAGAGAAGTCGACAGAGCGCAGTCGTGCCAGCGGGTGCATGAGGCCAACAGGGGTCTACAGGACGCACACAAGGGTCATCGAGGAGCATAGAAGAACGCCATCCGCGAGCGCATGAACCCGTGCATACTTTTGTACAAATCTACATTCGCTTGACCGGAGCCAAGGATGCATTGATCCGCCACTGGACTTGGCGGACACATGACTCACATGACCTCGACCTTCTCCACGTCCCCTTAGGCCTGCCTTTGCTTCATCAGCTACTGGTAGAGCGACTCCTCCTGGAAGCCTGGCAGAGAAGCTGCCAGATCCACAGCGCTGCTTGAGCCTCTCGATGTCGCAGCATGCGCTAAGGCGATGGCCTTTCGCTTCAGGCCTTTGCCACGTGGTCTCTGCCAGCTCCTGCTGCGACTCCGTGGCCTGGAATGGCTCGCATTTGTTGGCACAGACGGTACCGAAGCATCTTCGCTTCTCTCCAACACCGCACAGTGTTGCATTCGCAAGCCTGACCCTACAGCCAACAACTTGGATTATTGGTTCGGCACTCCCGAGTTCTCTCACGCGGACCATCACTATGCGGTGATGCGTGGTCTTTGGCTGCCCCAACAGTCCCAGCTAGCACCTGTCATGTGAGAATTTGCAATCAGGTATCATTTATCATGATTCACTGGTTGCAGCACTCCGAGGTTTTGCCAAGTCTTGGACAGGCTGCAGAGACTAGAGAGACAGGCCTCCGAGAAACTTTCCCAAACGTCGCGATTCTTGGTTTCACAAAACAGGCTCCTGCACTAGTCCATCACCGTGTGTACAAGAGTTGGCGGCTAATTCAAGGAACCTTTCCTTTTCACAGCCCAAGGCACAAGGCCTTCGAGCAACCACTACTGACAATTACCTGATTCGGCAAGTCGATTATTCCTGCTGGAAATCCTAAAACCTGAAATTGCGGTGATCTGGTGAGGAAGTCGATCAGACTGCTGCGAAATGCTTGACTTGTTAAGTTCTCTTGACAGTTGTGACGCAACTGCCCTCGATTCGCAGCCATGAAGCATGATAGGTGTTCGCCACAAAGCTCTTAGCCGCTTTCACCGCACAGATATGGGTTGGTTTGGTGATGAGGCATGACCATAGACATTTCCTCTTTCTCGGGTTAAAATGACAGCATTCCGACATTGGAGTTGTCATTTTGGGCAGGCACGAATGAACGGAAAACGGAACCTGAAACACCTTCGTGCAGAGCAGTTGCAACAGAAAGGCGCAACGAACTCGGAAAGGAGTGGGACGGAAACCCATGCTACTCATCGCTACTTCGTGGGCCTGGCAAGAAGCAAGCGAGCAGGGGGCAGGCAAACAAGCAAGCAAGCAAATCAGAAGCTCAAGTCACTTCTTTTTGGCACCTCCACTGCGGATACGTTCCACTGGCTGGGCCGAAGCGAGGCACTCGGAATACAAAGCCGTTTCGGCCCCAGGGCAATACCTCCTGGTCATCAAGTGTCAAAGCCTAGGCTTCCAGAAATAGAAATCTCCCGCATTCCCCGTCCAAGAAAAAGCCAGTGTAGTTCAGGCTGCTAGCCGCCAGAGGAGAAGAGGGCGAACCAGGACGCGTGAGGCAACTTCTGTCTCGTCCAAAGGTCCGCCTTAGCGAGCACTTCCGGGAAGAGCTGAGCAAAGGCGAGGATCTTGCATCGGACTTCGTAAGGCTGGCTCGGGAAGAGGACGACGGACGCCACTTCTTGTAAATAGATTTCCATGACCTTCGGCGATATCCAGCGGCCGCGGCGCCTAACCAGTTCGCTGTCTTCGGTAATTTGCAAGAGGTGGGTCGCGCCCCCGGGCCGAAAAGACCCCAAGTCGATCGGTCTCCCTCCGCGGGGAGTCGTCACGCCCAGACGGGCCAAAACGCAGTCGAGTCGCTTACGAAGAGTCTGCTGAGATCGATCCCAAAGCAAAGTCCCTGCCGGTAGCTCGCTAAAGGCAAGGCCGATAAGATGGACCAGATCGAGCTGTTCCACCTTCGCGGCCTGATGCCTGGCGACGCGAAGTCGGGTTTTCGGTTCTTGGATCCTCAGAAGCGCGTGCCTCTGAAGACCCAAGACGTCTGAGGGCAAGATGAGGTCTGCTCGTCGAGCTCCGGTTGCCTCACCTATTCTGAGAATGCCTCCCCAGCACAAAGCGAAAATACCAGCTTCTCGGAGCCATCCCCAAAGGAGGCAGCAAGACAATGTAGCAAGCAGAAGGACTGCAGGCATCGGTACGTGGTGGGTGTAGGGCTCCAAAGCCAACCACGAGAACGCCAAATCCCAAGGCTGCTGCAGCTGCCTTCTGACAGAAGGCACGGCTGCGGCAACTGCATTGATACATTCCGAAAAGTGATAGTAGGGCTTGCCACTGTCGAAAAGCTCCCGGCCGTAGGCAGTCAGCGCCGAGCCTAGGGCTTCGACGTCCAGAGGCCTAGCGCCAGCAAGGGCTGAGAACGACGACCCTCTCGTAACCAACCATTCGTCGAAACGAGCTAGAAACCTCTCTCGTGTCAGGCGAGTCCTGGGGAGAACTGGTCGCCCAGGTGCCAGAGAGAGGGTGGCTCGCCTGTCTCGTCGTTCGGCCTCCCTGGCAGCGGGTTCATGCTTCGGGCCTTCACCTGGAAAACCAAGCGTCTGGTCGAACAGGGAGCAGGGCTTAGGGGGGTCGGGCCTACAACGAAGGAGACTCAGGGGCCTAAGGACCCTCCCTGGAGAAGACAAGGCACGAAGGAAACCACCTAAACCCTCAGAAGACCTAAACCCTACAACCAGGCAGGCAAGGCGAAGCCAGTTTGCAGAAGGGCGGCTGAGCTGCCTGAAAGTGGATGCGTGATACACGTCGGCAGGCCCAAGAAGAGAGCACAGTGAGAAGGGAGACGGAGCACGCAGCGGGGCGTTTCGGGTTGGGTCGTCGGCAACGTTAAGCCTCGTAGGGCCGAAGACGACAGCAACCTGCAAGCCACATGCAAGCTGGACCGAGGCGATCCTTTTCAAGACCTTCCCCAGGGCTCGGGTGGAGCTTCTCCCTTTGCAGGCGGCACCGAGGGTCACGCCAGAGTCAGTGATAACGACCAGCCTCTGATCATCCCTTGACTGGGCTGCGTCGAGGATGGCTCTGAGCAGGGCTTTCGCCTCAAGCACGTTAATGTGCGCAGCTTCCCTCCAAGACCAAGCGACGCCAGAGCGCCAGTGCCCCGAGGCGAGCAGGTCATTGACCAAAAGGCTTTCGAGGCCGCGCTTCGGAGTGGGCTCAGGAGGACAGGAGTCGAGGACACTGGCAAAGGCGTGGCTCAAGGCAGCAACGAGCTTCGGGCAGAAACCAGGCCTCCGGGACTCACCCAGAGGAGGTGCCAGGCAGCAGCCGGGGGGCTCGAGAGGAGCCAAGTCCAAACCCTCAAGTCCAGAGGCGAGTAAGGCCAGGGAGCCAAGGTGGCAGGCACGCTGGGCGCAAGCGGAAGCACGGAGGAACTCGACTCGAGGCAGGCTCGCCAAGTAGCTGAAACGACCCTCACCAAGGAGCGAGGAGGTCCCCGAACACAAGAGCAAGGAGGGGACACCGCATCGCCACGCCACCCAGAAAAGGGCCAAACAGGAGCAGGCGACCCTAAAGCCAAGGCGGCGCCGATGCTCACACACGTCAAGGTCACGCCGTTTCGGTGGGCTCCTGAGCACAGACAAGGCCCCACAGGGCACGAAGAGGGCTAAAGACCGAAGCCGACCCGAGGTCATCAAGAACATCAGCCACTCAACACAGTCGGGGCTCGCCACGTCAAAATGCACAGAGAACTCAGGAGAGACACAGGGACCGCAAGCAAAGCCACGCTCGGACAAGGAGGCCGTGAGTCCAGGCGGGCCACCACCAACTAGGATGAAGTCAAACCTTTGGCCAACGGGCCGCGGCACACCACTCTTAACCTCACCGGCAGGCTCTGGCGGGGACAAGCAGGCAGAGTCCACAGGCTCCTGGCCCAAAGAAGCCAGCGAGGCGCGCAACGGGTTGTCAAGCCGAGTGTAGAAGCCCTTGCTGTCGGCGGCCTGCCAAAGGGCGGAGGCAAACCGCCTGGGGACACGCAACCTCGTAAAAGCCCCCTTCGCCATAGAGGCGTCGGACGCACGAACCGTCTCAGAAAAGGGGGCCGCAACGTTTGTAGCCAAGAGCGGGCTGAGAACAGCAAGCAAAACCAGCTCCTGCCGAGCCTCAGGTGCGAGAGGGATCAAACGAGAGCCGCTCTCCCAAGTCTGGACACCAGAACCAAGCCCAAAGATTTTGTCAGCAATGGCCATGGCGGGCCGACGAAACATCAGGGCTGAGACCCAGCTGCCAGAGAGCATCGAGGCCAGCTCTTGCGAGATGACTCGGGAGGAGGCCGCACGGAGGGAGACCAAAGCAAGGGCCAGCCGCTTTTGAGCAGGGGAGGCAACTGTCACGAGTCCTTCCTAACGGCAGCAGGGCTAGAGTCGCACTCCGCACCCGCCAGGGTGAAGACCGAAGCCCCGAAAACGTCTTTGTTGTCCGAGCCCAGGACACCAGCCCCGTCGTAGCACTGTTTGGCCCTGCGAACCAGCCGTTCTGAAGCGGACACGCCCGAAAAAGAGCCGAGGACAGGCTCAACGGAGGCACTGAAAAAATCATCTATCACGATGCCTGTCCATGGCCCTTCCGTGGCAACCGGGTGCCTAGCAAGGAGTCGCCCGTGCTCACAGTCAGGAAGAACACCTCCCTCCTCCAAGAAAGAGGCGTGCGCTGCTGTAGCCAGTTCCACGCCCGCAGCATCGCCCTGAAACAGGGCCCCGAAGCACCCATGAACAACACAATCCAAATCGAGGAGCTGGGAAGGGGAGCTCGGGGAGCGAGGGTGAAGGAGCCTCCGCAGGCAGGGCAGGTGCAAACTCGAGGAAACCCATTCCTGGTACTGTTTGTAGGCGCGCGTCCCAACAAAGTCCCGGAGGCAGAAAGTTGGCTTCACGGCGTTCGAGAGGGATCTCTCGACACTCACACAGCACTGAGAGTAGAAATCCTTCCTGTCGGTCGAGCTCCCTCGCAGCTGGTGAGTGAAGCGAGGAAGGCAAAGCCTGGTGAGGAGAAAACCTTGAGGGAGCTCATGCGACACACCGTCAAGTTTTGCCTCAAGAGCGTTGGGCCCACGTCGGTCCCCGATTTGCCTAAAGCAGCCCGGCGACTTGAAAGAGCCGAAGACTCTGGAGCACAACTGGTCCTCGAGAGGGCCCGGGCACAGCCTGAGCAGGGACTTTGCGTCCCAAACCTTCAAAAGCTTCAACACCTCAGCTGCATCCTCCTTGGAGAAGGAGGGGGTGGGGCCACCGGTTCCAGGAAAAGTCCGCAGGACGGCCGGCTCCCTAAAAGCCAAGAGCATCTCAGGGCCGAGGTAGGGGCTGATGTCCCAGTTCGCCTCACCGTGAAGCACAATGGCATCGGCCTGAAGAGGGTGGTACGGCCGCAGAACGTCGGGGCCATCTTGACGATGAGGAACCAGAGGGGCCTCGCAGTCAGACCCAGAACCCCGTTCTCGAGTCGAGAATGGGGGTCTGGAAAGAGGGGCCTCGCAGTCAGACCCAGAACCCCGTTCTCGAGTCGAGAATGGGGGTCTGGAAAACGCTACTTTTGTCACGTGGCCATAGCCTTCCTCGCCAAGACCAGCTGACACCAGAAAATCAAGAAGCTCACCCTGCCTGGCAACAAGGTGAGTCCCACGCCTGCCGGCACAAAAGGGCACTGAGGCCCCAAGGCGGCAACACGCCCTCAAGTAGCCGCTGACCCGCTTGAACACAGAAATGTGGGCGGCGTTCGGCGGCCTCTGCAGGAGGTGGGCAGGGATCGGCCGAAGACCGGCGTGCACAAAGTTAAGCGCCATGATCACGAGGTGAAGCGCGGAACGGAGGTGCATGGACCTTCTTCGGAGACCTCCTCTCTTGCAGGCTCGGTCCCCTAGCGGTGAAGGGCTAGGAGAAGGGATCGGAAAGAGGGCGGCGGGAGCGGAACAGTCATCGCTGGGTCCCCGCCTTGCGAGATTTGCGCAACCAAGGCCAGCATGGCTCGGCTTGGTACCATCATCGCTGCAGCCAGCTCGTCGGGAGGCCGCCCGGCGGGCAACTCGCCGGAGGAAATACCGGCGGCCAGCAGGCCATCTTGATCCTCCTGCGCGTCCTGGGCACTGCTCCTTGGAGCCTGGTCGAAAAGGGAACGCGTGGGCGGAGGAGGCCCCAGAACTTGGGCAAGGGACTTCGGCACGGACTGAAAAGGAGGCAGCTTCCCGGAGGGTTGGTTTGCAGAGCATTTGCTGAGGGCCGGGATTCAGCTAGCAATGACCATTTCCATTTTCTAACCATGCACCCCCCCCTAGCACCCAAATCATAACAACCTATACCTCAACCCTAACCTCACCAAAAAAACCCAACCTAATTCCCCTAGGATGGAACCACCATAAGACC